GAGTCATTTACATTTAGCCATTATTCTTTGCCACGTAAGTTCGCTAACATCCAGCCAGAAACTGTATTCGTTCAATGTTAATTATTTATGAGTTTAAACCCATTATTCTCTCCACCGAAAGAATACAAAAATTATCACCAACTAAATGTTGGGGAATTTGTTTGATAGTGTGATAGTTTTATGAAAATAAAATAAAATATAATTAATTTTAAATTAAAAAAATTAAAGTATATTTTTTATTGGTCATTTAGGTTATTTTTAAATTCACTTAATCATGCAAAATAAACTTTTATTTATTATTTGAGAGTTATTTTTGAAATGTTAATTTTAAAATGAAAAGTAATTTAAAAAAATTTACTACCACTACATTAAATCCATTACAAGATTTTATAAAACAATGGTTTTTTTTGTTTGATTTATTTGATTTAATGAAATCTTTTAATTTTTAATTAGATTTACTGTTGATTTTATAAGAGAAATAGCCAATACAAAATAAATAACTTCACATCCTTCGCCACCAATTCATAATTAAAGTTCTGTTAAGATTTTAAAGAAAATATATTTTCAGGATTTTTTTTTAAATCAAAACATATTTCTTACATGCAGCACGTGCAAGAGACAAGCTGGTATAATATCGAGATATGATATTTTTATTTCTTACAGGAGAAGTATAAATAATAATAATAATAATAATAATAAGCTACCATTCTTGACAAATTACGGGGTATAAGTTGCAAATCAATTTAAATATGGGGGTTGAATTGATAATACCGAGAGATCTTAAAACACATGGGGTGGCAGGCGCCGATGGGTAGTGAAACGTGGCACACCGGGCAATGCCTAGTCATGATTCGAGAGAAGGTGGACGGTCTGCTCTCTGACACGTCACCATCTACCAACAGGGCACGCATCATGTTCCATGCCGCTAGGCTGCGTTTGGTTGGTTTTTTCTGTTTTGTGAATCTTTATTTATTATTAGAAACCCTTTTCTTTTAAAAAAAAATGATAATAATGCCTTCTAGTGCATGCAACCTGTAAATGGCTTCATTATTAGGTCCTGAAAATAAATTGTTTATTACAAACTTATTGACACAGAAGAAGACGGCGACCACCTGGTACTGCAATATTGTTTTACTAATTTAATAAATAGCTGGGCTGATTATTATAATCAATTAAATAGAATTTTGGATGGATGAATTTCAGCTGTTCTCTGACCTGGCTTCAATCCTATCAGCATAATCACACATGGGGTATCATCATCGATGATGGAAGTCAGAGCCATTAATGTTTAAGATTATGACATCTTATCAAACTCTGGCCACGTTAATGTTACAGCCCCCTCTCTCCATGTGTGCATGGCTAAGTGTTCAATACATCATTTTTGTATTTAGCCTGTGTGGTTTTTGCTTTATAATCTATTTTTAAATCAAATTTCAAATTGTTTTTCTTGTGCTGGTCATTAAATTGATTGTTTTTTTATAATTTTAATATACTAATATAAAAAATATTTTAATATATTTTTAATTAAAAAATATAGTAGTAATACACAGTGCATGGAGTTAATTTTCTGGATTATTGAATTTGTTTAAGTAAAATAAATATTTTTAAAAGCACACTGTTTTTTAACATTTTTTTAAAATACAATACCAATCACAGAGATTTTTCAAGACTAGACGAATTTCCAATCAACTTTAGAACTCCTCTTTTTTATTCTGAAATATAAATATCCACTTAAAGTTTGGGTTTAAGTAAATTAAAAGATATTCGTGTAGTAAAAGAACAAACAATAAGAGATAACATAAGGAGAAATTAAAGCTTAGAAACCTGATTCATGTTATACATAATAAAATTTACAACTTGAAGATTACACGAATACACTCAATGGTTAGAGTACTGTAGCATATATCTCTTTCTCAGAAGTCTAATGTACGTATCTCCCCATGTAACGTATCCGGTTGTTGCATGAGAAAAACTAAAGGATATATAATACTAGAGCCGTTTAATTCTTTTACTATTTTTTTTTATTAAACGACTTGTCATTGTGTGATTGGTGTTTTATAAATCACTTAATATCTTAAAATGATAATTATTTATTAAATATCATAAAAATCCACATTTTATAGTGTGATTTTTTTTATATTAGTAGATGCCATCTCATTTAATATAAAAATTTAATTACCCTGACATTATGTATAATATGAATATTTTCTTCTACTTAATGTTTGAGAATACAATACAAATCATGTTTTTAAAAAAATTTAATTTTTTATTTATTTTAAATTTTAAATAAAAAAAATATATCAATTTAATATATTTTAATATAAAACTTTTTAAAAAATAATTACAATCACCCTCATCCACGGTTGCTAAAAGCACCCATTTGCTAAGACACAGAAACTTCCATTAGCACTTCGGCTCACAAAAAGAGCCTGTCTTTTCTAGTCCTTCCTGGCTTTTCTTGCTATTAGGGTCTCTTTGCTGCGTGCCAATTTTATGCAGTGAAAAGAGTAATTCTTATCCTCAAAATTAACTATCCATTTAATTTCTTATAAATTAAAATCTACATACATGCATCTAATCTTCATGATCTTGACCAGAATGTACGCAGGCATTAGGTTCACGAGGATTTTTGCGAGGTTCATCTCACTTTTATTGTTTGTGCATGTTTTTCCATACTGGTGGGATTGCTATAGGTCTTGGTGGGATGGGTAGAAAAAGGAAGAGATAAGTAAAGAGATTTTCCACCGAATTCTCAGTTGTTCACAACACTCTCCATAGAACTTTAAAATGATTGCTAGCTGGATAAATGATTTAAAAACACAGTGAATCGAGGTTAAATTGAGATAGGCTCCTAACTTTATAAATCTTAATTTAATTATCGTGAAAATATTTTTATATATATAAATTGTATACTAAAATCACATGACAGTTTTAAAAAATGACACTTGTCTCGTTAACTAATATCCTCGTACAAGTGTCACGTTTTAAATTTAAACTGGTGGAACATGTGTTACTTTTCAAGACAAGAACATGATCCCACGGGGCCAATATCGAAGAACTGATTAAAGGAGCCTATTATATATATAAAAAATAGTTCATGGTAGTTAAATTACAGCTTTTAAAAAACCAGGGGCCTTTCTCAATTTGATCGAGAATTCAAAACAAGAAGCATTGTTCTAACCTACTTTAATGTACTGATTTTCAAACCAACCAGTTTTTTTTTTTTTTAAGATTAATATAGGTGTTCGGACCAGTTTGCGTGTACCACGACTAATCCCACGGACCCTGAAGTTAACGACCATGTAAGTCTCCAGTGACCATCATATGAGCAACTAAAGACTTGAATCTGAGACCACAAAGGGAACAAACTCCTTAATCTCAAGTCCTTACCACTTGGTCACCACCTAGATGGTTAACCAACGAGTTCTTAACTGACCAAGAAGCAGTGTTCTTAACATGACCAAGAAGCAGTGTTCTAAAAAAAAGAAGCAGTGTTCTAACCTCAACGGTTAAAATAATCTCAGTGCCTAATTAGCCATGTAGATGTGGTCGAGTGACGAGCACATAGTATAAGGTTGACAAGCGGGCAATGATGATGCAGGGCCAAAGCGGACAGACCGACAGGTACACCAACGCATATATGTAGAGATAGATTACAGGAAACAAGACTTTAAAGAAAAACTATATGATTTTATAAATTTCAGTTTTCTGAAAAGGAAAAGGAGCTGTGTTCCATGGAATGAATAGGAGAATGCATCAAGATCTCAGAAATAAACAACCAGTCGGTAGACTTAACTAGTCGCCATATATAGCTTTTTCCAAAGGCAAATGAAAATGTCAAAACTACCTCACCAAACAAGGATTACGTACTCTGAGAACAGCACGAAACTTCTCCTATGCGTCAAAGTTATTCCACCGTTTCATTCGATTATGGATGGCCTATTTCAAAAGAAAAGGCATGCTCTGGGGACCATAATTCTTATGGTCAGTATTAAAAACCCAGTTGACAAGGAATCCTTGACGAGAGAAGAAAGAAGTTACACTCGTTAACTTGTGAGATGACTGGCGGATACCCAAATGGCCTAAACCTATAAATCTCTCGAGAATCAGAACCTTACCGCAAGTCATGAATCGACGATTAACCGCAATTAATGGAAAATCTCTTGTTTAATTGTTAAACTCCTTACAGATTTTCCCTAGAATGATCTCTGTGGGGGCCGGGAGGTGGGATATGGATATAGTCGGTGTTAGGTCCTGAACCGAACAGAATGATGGTCCATCTATAGATAGCTTTACTAGGCATATGAATTGCTTTGTCGTAGCCCATCATATGTTACCTCGTTGAATCTGCATCATCGTCTCCGCACTTGAGGAGTATTTATTTCGTGGTCCATCAGAAAGATGCTTTTCGCCCAACAGAGTACGTAAAAAGGAAAGGCATTGCAGGTATTGATTCTCCCCTCCCTTATTTTCGACCTCCGTTTATTGTTTTTTGATAAAGACAGGTATAGTTTTCCTTAATTTATCACATCGAGTAAATTGTTATTTATTTCTTCCAATACGGATTAAATGAGATTACATAATTATATCAGTACTCGGGAAAACAACTTACAGATTGCTGGGAAGGAGTAATGTTTCTTTTTATTTTTTATTTTAGCTTACCGGAGCATCTAATTAACAAGAAATGTATCCTTTCATAATCGGAAGCAATTTAAAAATATTAAGCGTAGTGAAAATTGATTAAAAAGAAAAATGATAACAATAAACATACACACACACACCACGCACGCACACTCGATAGATGAACTACAAATAAGAAAAATATTAGTTCCAAGTCCAAATGAGATCACTAACAATGATAAAAATAACATGATTGACGTTAGTAATCCTCGTATATTATTCAACAATTCCATGAAGGAAATATTAAAAATAAAAAGAATACAAATCCCGGCCATATGCAAAAACAAAAAGAAAAGAAAAGAAAAGATGAACCCGGGATAAATTGAAGCAGATATATAAATAAGTCTTATATTTTCATATATGATGATAGCTAGTGAAAAAAAGGCTTGAAGGTGCTCACCACCTTCTTGATCTGATCAACGAATGAAGTGTACGATACTGTTCCATCGTTCCCAGCGAGAACCCTGTACTTGTCCTTTCTAGTGAAGTTTGTGCATTCGAATCCTAATGTAGCTGCTAAGATTCTTTGTACATAATTGGCAACATCATGTGGGCTTTTACCAGATGAGCATATAGCTTCTACTGGCAACTGATTCAAGAAAGTCACCTCGTAAACTGGTCTAGGATTCATGAAGAAGAATACAGGGTCCAGAGCTTTGCATCCTCTTGCTGTAGTTGCATGGAAAAAACCAACCCTATAATTCATTGCCACTGGTACTATCTGGTCAGTTAATTCAGCGAAAAGTGCACTAAATCTCAATAGAAATGGTTCTCTACAAGTTGTTCCTTCTGGACAAACCACGAGGTCACCTTTGGCTAGTTCTGTTTTGATTTTCTTAGCATCAACATTGCGGATCCTTGTTAACCGAACGGTGGGGATTGGTGATAGGATCTCTGATAATCTCGAAAGGGAGTATGTGACTGCTGGGATTTTACGCCTTAGCACCGTGGATAGGACAACAGGGTCCATTAGAGTTCGATGCGTGCAAACAAATAGCACACCACTATTACCACCGGACGCAGGCGGTGGTGGCTTGCCCTTGACAATGACTTTGCCACCCAATACTCTGGACGAGTAAGGTTTAGCCCACATCGGTAACATTACTCCCACTAGAATTCGGATTGTTGCAAGTATGATGCCTAGTGGCATCCAGAGGATGATTAGGAGAGCCGTGGATGGTGTTGGGCGCTTGACCAGGCGGCCATCATGAAAGATTACAGGGAGAGGGCGGACGAGCGGGTGATCATAATGGTTTTGATTGGCCATGAATGGGGGGTGTGTTTGCTCCTGTCAAGTGTCAACACAAGAAATGGATGTAATTGTCAGCGGTAGCTCGATTAATTAACATGAATAGTATTTTACTTTGGTATTCCATGGGAGATCAAATGGAACTTTAGCTACTTAATGTGATAGCCCCTCTCATCCAGCATAAATCATGCACAATCCTCGTCTAGAGTTTGAATCTGAGGCCTTCTAATAAAACTTCAAAATTTTAGTTTTTAAACAATTGAACTATCAACCGAGAAAGCTTTGATTAAGTTGATAACCTTAAATTAATCACACTAGCTGAGGTTGCCACTAATATATATATATATGCACTCACCTTGCATTGGGATAAGAATGAAGAAGTAATCGTCCCAAGTCCAAAACCAGGCTTTTCATCGATAAATAGTTTGGCGACACGACTCGAGATATAAGAATCAATATTGTTGCCCTTGACAAATCCAGTGGCGAACCCGAACCGGCTTATCACAAGTTCACTCCCAATAACCTCATCGGCTCCCAGATGCTCCTTCACAAACCTTTCTACCATGATCCTTGGCATTTTAGTCACCACAACTCTTCTATCATATGAACTAAACACTTTCCAAGCCTCCATGTCAATATCTTCCATGTAAAACTTTGGTAAAACGGCTCTTGCTACCGACTCAATCTCCGATTCACTAACACCCGCAGTGGCAACGAAGACCACTAGTTTGAGCCCATACTCTTCCATCCCTAACATCTCTAGTAACCAAATTACAGGCCAAAAAATCAATAACAAGGCAAAGCGAAGCAAACCCGATGCCTCAAATGCTACTAACATGAAATAAGAAAAGGGGTCTCGGTCTTTGAGAAGAATTCCTTCGAGCTCTGAAACAACTGCATCCATTAGGGTTTTGTTTTGCTTGGTTTTTGGTCTTTTGATATTTGTTTACCTTGAGAGGATATTTGTGTGTTCAAAATGTTTGTTTGGTTCTTTTCTTCGTAGGTGACAACGGATTTATGTGCTGAAAAAATTATGGGAAGAGGTTGGCTTGACTGCTCTCTGATCCTGGAATTTGACGGTTTATCAGTTTACAACTGCCCCTTATATACTTTATAAACACTGCCTCTTGCCCTCTTGCCTAGGTGTATATATCTATAGATCAATATCTGTTGGATTATACGCCACGTTACCACACAAAGATTGATTACTTAACCCCAACAACTTTGTCTAATTTCATTTATCAAGATTTATAACAGGTTGAACAGTCTATAATTTGTACACCTAAAGTATAACTATTATTAGGTTACTAACCCAGATAACTTGAGCCGTATGTGTATGTACGTACGTATGTATGTGGTATATATTTGTCATGTAATTCAATTCTTGATTTGTGAAGTTTGTGATAATGATCACTCCCACGTTGTTGCATGGGAACTAGCAAAGCTGGCCGATTATTTCTTTTGCTTCTTCACTGTTCACATTTTCCTTTAGTTCTCTCCTCGCAGTTTCTGGAACTCTTTCTGGCTGTGCACTTGTTCTCTATCTAGCTTGCCATGTGTCAAATCATGTGAATTTAGAGTCAGAAAAACAGAAGATGTGCGTAGCTTTGATGCTTTGATCCGTGATGTATTTTCTTATTTTCTTTTAATGAAGTGACCTAATCAAGATTGGTAAGGGAGACGGACATTTCACGAGCTGGCTAGGCGTTGAGTTGTTTTCGTTGAAATCAGAATAATTAAGGTCAATATATGCGTGGTGTACTGATTTAGTCCTTAATATGGAGCATTTTCTGCAATGGCTTCCGAGAAATTTCAAACATACACGCTGGTTGTACATAAACGTACGGTGATCAATTAAATTATGATTGTATCTGCTTCCAAATCAACCTTTTTTTCAGTACATGTACAATGATTTTTTTAACGAAACCAAAGGCACACTATAGATGGCATCGCATTAATTAGGTGCTGGCCCGTCCAAATAACCATTCCACCCCTGCTTGACATTGACGACCTTTGTCGTTAATTGTCACACGCATGCACAAACACGCGCACGAAACCATTAGATAAAGAAGTAAAATCATATCAAAGAGTTTGGATATATACTGTGTGAGAGAAATATGAGATTGAGATTGTTAAAAAAGAATTAATTAAAAGAAAAAACTGTCTTCACCACATTATTTGATTTCCATGTGGATTACAAGCCACTAAAGATGGCCAGCACGCTTCATACTTAAATAATAAATAATCACCAAGTAGTTCGTTTCTTGGCTATACGTATATAATTGCCTGTATAATTGAAAACCATGGTATAAGTTTATCCAGCCGAAGATGTCCCGAAGCTGCAATTTGGCTATCATCATGGGATCCTTGATAATGTTTTAAAGCTCCCTGAGAATTAAAGTAGGAAAGAAAATGTTTTTGCCTTCTTTGAGCACGGTTGGTCAACTTATTTGTGCAACACTCCTTTCGATTATAAAATGCTAGTAGTTAATTTGCTTTTCAGGTTGTTGGGGACACTTTCTCCCTTAAGTTAGGTAAGGTTGGCAGGAAAATGAGAAACTTGTTAGGAAATATTGGCTATGTGTATTGTGTGAGCTGAGTTTATCCAAAGATTTGGCCAGGTAATATTGCAGATCAAAGTTGGGCTGTTTCCTGGTCTGCAAGCAGGGAAAGGCAATACAGTTTAATTATGAAGGTGGTGTTTAATTAAGCTGCGATTTCTTAAAAACCAAGCAAGTAATCATAATTTGAGGATTGGCATGAATATAAATAAACAAAGGATTTGTAGCTATTGTCTTGTTTAACGAGATCTGTATAAGCTCAAGTTACCCTTAATTTCAGGAAACTGGATCCACTTTATTATTCTAAAACTAATTTCAAAGTTACAAGCATAATTTAATAATTGTATGCTCGATTTTTTTTTAACGAAGCACGTTAGCGTCAGTAATTTCAGTTTATTTCGTTGTGATGTAATAGAAAATAATTACCTTCTAAACTCATAAAAAATAAGTTGCTGGGTTTGAGTGGGCGTTGATTCTAGTTGGGTTAACAACTTTGCGTGGAGAAAGTTTGAGAGTAGGCCTTGATACAGGAACTACCCCAAGCACCATAAGATGTTGGAGAGCCACTCAGCCTAAGCCCAGCTCCTCAATATGCTTCTGTAACACAGCAAAAGTTTCGAGGGTGCCTACATCCATTTATATTTAGCCCCAACGATGTGTTGATTGATCTAATTAATGTGATTGTCCGTAAGGAAGCTCAGGCCATCAAATTTGCATGGTCAAGTAGTGCCATTGGGCTCGTTTCAACAGCCCGTTTATGTCTGTGTTCGAGTCAATATTGGCTGCCCCTTGGCGACGAGGGGAACTTGTAAACTCCCAAGTCCCGAGGACAATTTAAAATTCTTTGTTCAATTTCATCATGACATGTGGCATTCAGTTAGACAGTTGACTAGTAACAAAATCGGCTGAAAGGACCGAAATTGCCAAGTAAAGGGACTGAGCTGCTCGAATTCAAAGTTGAGTGGTAACCCAGAAAGGCCATACTTATGGGACTGGAGGGAATTTAAGGTTATCTATTCCTATTAGAAATAACTGTTATTAAAAAAAATAATCAAATTAGAATAAATTTTATCTCGCTAAAATTTTCAGCATGTTTTGAAAATTTTGGGCAAATTTTGGCTGGAATATTTTGTTCTGTTCTGATTAAATATTATTTTTTTCTTTAATTTTACCATAAACACTTAATTTATTAGAAATTAAATTTTATAATTTATTGTATCTTGTTTTATTTGTTGTTATCGTAATCTCATAACTCATGTTATGGATTAACTCGATTCACTCAAGTTTTTTTTTTTTTTTTTTTTTTTAGTTAATTTTTTTAATATTTCATTCAACACCTTTAACATTTAGTTAATTATGAATTAAATTTTATTATTTGTTTTAATTTATTTTTTCTAAAATTATCTTAAGCTTATAATTTGAGTCATGAGTTTTAAGAGTTAACTCCAATAAACCTAGATAGTTTTATGATCTCATGACCTGTATTGATAATCTAATATGTTGTCATCTTAAATTTTTTAAATTTTTTTTTTGAAATTTTTGAATTAAATTATATTTTTACAAATCATCCAAGTTATTTTTAGACCCATTAAATTAATCGAGTCATTTTAGATTAATTCCTAAAATTTCACTTGTATTTAAAATTTGAATTAAATAATTTTAATTTAATTTAATTTTGAATTTAAGTTAAATTATATATATAATATAACTCCGAAATAACCAGCACAAATGCTCTGAAATTAAAACATATTTTCCAATTGAATAACGTCAACCAAGAACAGAATTGAGAATCTAGAGGGAGATTGGGGGAGGGATGAATTGGTTAGATGAAAAAATGAGAAGGGGAAATGGTTAATAAAGTCATTTACAAGATAAATTATCATACATGGTGTAAATTATATTCGTGTTCTCAAAAAAATATAGAATTTATTATAAAAATAATTTTAAAGTATTGAAAATTACAAATAATAAAAAGAAATTTAATTTTATTATAACTAAAATATTTAAAATTGATTTGAAAAAACATTTGTCATCCTTCATTGAATCCCTGTCTTTATTGTTAAAAAGAATGAACACCCAGTACTTTTTATCGTCTCGTTCATCCTTCCGGCCAATCTTTCACGACAGACACACCCAGAAGGAAAGCAGAAAAGAATGGGGGACGGGCAATTTTATTTCACTTCCTTCCCTACCTCTTCTCGTGACCTGCTCCCATCACTATATTTTACCTTCGGCAGTTCTGCGAGGTGTTGCATAACATTTCTCTCTGTAAACAAGCCGGCTTGTATTTTTTTTATTTTTTTTTTTGCAAGAAGAAGAAAATCTGAAGGTATATTTTTTTTTAAAAAAAAAACAGCATTAATTACACATCAAATGCAATATCTATTTCCCTAGAATCAAATGTCAAGTACGAGTCGAGGACAGAGTTAATTACTCATGCATTCTGATTGATTTTTTGTCTAAAAATATTATTTTAATATATTTTACTTTAAAAGGCTATTATTATCTAAAACATCTCTTAAATCGCGCTGTATTGGTGGAAATTAAGCAGCAGCAACGTAAAATTCTTTGGTTTTTTTTCCAATTATTTTTGTTATTTTCTAATTAACATAATCTCCTGCATAATTGTAGTAATTTGTAGTGAGTTAACTACTCATGCATTCTGATTGATTCGAGCAAGATGCAAGCCGCAAGAACATGATCTCTACTGATTGATTAATAACAGTTCAATTCAAGCAAAAACTAAATCTCGCAACATGGTTATGAAAATCACTTTACATGTGCCGTACATATGTTGTTTAAAAGCATGTAATAATTATCTCTTACTGATAATGTCCGGATCAGTTTATCACGTAACCATCTCCCAAGGTAATTAATGGGAGCACAAGTTCATGAACGTGGCTGTGATGACATGCCTGGGTTTTCCAGCACTCACTGTCTGCTCTCCCAGTCCTCGTAGCCGTAAGTGACCTCTCATGCAGTGGTTTTAAATTCACGCATTTGAATGTATCTGGATTTTATTTATTTCATTCTGGACAGCAAGAGAGTCGAGCAAGAGCACTGAAATCAGAGGATAGAAGATAACATAAGTTATTAGGAAAGGAATATCTACATATAAAATTATATCTGTGTAAGCACAAAAGATCAGATTGTACATGGTCTTCAGAATGTATCGTACATGTGAAATAACAATTCGAGAGGGTGTTTGGAGATGCGCTCTTCGGATACTGACAGGCCACGTCATCATAGTTGAATATTTTACAGCGCTAGGCTTTGTTTGTTTAATAATATTTTCGAAAACATTAAAAAAATATTTTATTTTAAATTTATATTTTTATATTAAAAATAATTTTGAAAAAATTTAAAATATTATTTTAATATAATTATAAATAAAAAATATTTTTTAAAACAACTACACGTATTACCATGCTATAAACGGCGTCACATGTTTGTAAAATCATCTTTATCCGTTAGATGTTAAAAAAATAGAGGAAAGGCTGACACTATCACCGAAAATAATGCAAGAGGCTTGGACAGTG